TTGCAGTTCACTTCACTCGCCCCTAGCAAGCGTACTGTCTGAACAGCAACTCGCCCCGCTGCCTGCGGTTCCCGGTTCTCTAGCCCGTACTGCAAAACGGGCTTCGCTTCCTCAACGAAACAAAACCCCTCCCTCTTCATGATCCGCACGACTAAGCATATTCCAATGCCTGTCTGTTGAAGAGTGCAGGGCCTTTCCAGTTCCCGTGCAACCCTGCCGCATTGAGGGGACCTAACATCAGCTTCACCCCTCAATGCATGAGCCTGCCGCAACTGCCAGCACTCCGCTCAATTCAGTGTCACCCAACCAACATTCCGAACTACACACTTCCTGAACACGCGGAATGCGCAGCAAAATGCAAATCGGAGGATCGCACCTCCGCAACTTGCCGCGTTACCAACCCACTTCCAGACTCTACTCGCACGCCAACCAGTAAATGCCCAACCGTCTCAACTGGCCTTGCACTTCATTTCATATGCCTCTAGCAAGCGTACTGCCTGAACAGCAACTTGCCCCACCGCTGGCCGGTCCCACCTCTCCAGCCCCTACTGCAAAACGGGCTTCGGTTCCTCAACGAAACAAAGCCTCTACATATCCATTCTCCAGACGACTAAGTATTTCCCAATGCCTGCCGAAGACTGCAGGAGCTTCCAGTTCCCGAGCAAACCTGCCAAATTCGATAGACCCAACATCACCCGCACCTCCCAATAAATGAAATTGCCCCACCACCCACGCCTCCGCTCAGTTCAACGTCACCCAGCCAGCCTGCAGAACTACTCACTCTCTGAACAAGCGGAATGCTCAGCATAATTCAAATCCGACTGTCGCACCTCGGCAACTCGCAGCCTGACCAACTCACTTCGACACTCTACTCGCACGCCAAGCAGTAAACTCCCACCCTTCCCAACCAGCCTTGCAGTTCATTGCACTCGCCCCCTGCAAGCGTACTGCCTGAACAGCAACTCGCCCCACTGCCTGCGGTTCCAGGTCCTCTAGCCCATACTGCAAAACGGGCTTCGGTTCCTCAACGAAACAAAACCCCTCCCTCTCCATGAT